GGGAATTTTATTTTCCCTCATGAATAACTGTGAGTTAGCGAGTGATAACAAAAAAAAGGGAAAAGAAAACGCAATTAAACCTGTGGAAACATTTAAAACGCTTGGGAGATTAAAGAGGGTGCTCTCGATAACTGATGTCTTGTATGCACTTGCAATTTTAAATTCAACCAGCATTGCATTTCACGGACATATATTACTCCGGGAATTCCCAGTAAGACTTACGGAGCTTCCGAGCCAGTAGAGAGAAGATACGAGAGACCAGATAAGAGGTTTATATATTTTATAGATAAAGTAAAAATCTGATTTGGTACTATTGTTATTATTATTGTATCGGAAAAAAATTCCGGGTGAATTTTTTTCTGGCTGATTATACCGACAGTTCATTATATTTTTAGACACGTATTTCGGTGTGGTTAAAATTGTCGCTTGAATTATATTAGTTAATTTTCCTTCACTCTTAGTCACTTACTCCCACTTCTCGAGGCTGATCTTGACACAGATTTTTGGATGACACTGACCGAGCATTATTTCTTTCGTTTCTTGCACTCTTCTTGAATTCATTTCATCTTCTGAACAAAATATATTCTGTTGTAAATTAAAATTTGTAATGCATTAGGGTGGAATTTTTTATTTTTAAAAATTAATTTGTTTTTTAAAATAATTTTAAGTGATCAAACTTTTAGTTAAACTTATAAAAATTCTTATATGAACTTTGGATTCAAATTTTTTTTTAACTATAAAAATATGACAAAATTTACTAAGACTATTTTTATTGAGAATTAAATCTTCTCCAAAAAAAGTCTCTTATAAATTTTTAATATTTTAGAAAAATTTGAGCTCCAAATTTTTGTTAAAAATCTTCAAATATTTCAGAACTTTAAAATTTAAAATTGCTCAACTTGCCTTACAAAAATAAATCGATTTCTTGAACTAAAATTGTCTATTTATTTTCTATCGCACTTGTAGAACAACATTTATCCATAAATGTAATGAAAAAACATTAGTTTCAACACTTATGACATTTTGCTTTTTAGATAAGTAAAAAAAAATGTTTTAAAAAATTATTTCGTGGACGCCCGACTGCCAAATGTATGCATTAAAACTGCCGTGGTCACGATAACTGCGGAAAAACTTAACTGATCAAGTCCAATTATTTTTTATACGCTTCAGTATGATTTAAAACTAAGTCCTTTCGAAGATCAAGGTCGAATTTAATGTAGTTTATTTATAATTTGCAATAAACTAAAAATCGCGAAAGATTTAAAAGTATTTTTTGTATTTTATTTAAATTAATTTTATTATGAAAAATGAGATTATGAGGCGTGCACTTTTGGATTTTCCAAACTTTTTAAATATCGTCTCAAAAATAGATATTTTGTAACCTTAATTCTTGAGAATAGCTATCTCTAATCCCCAAACATCAATAACAATTTTATTTCTCCACAAACCTTCCATTAAATTATACTTATTAATAGTCTTCAGCACAGGGATCCACTGTAAAATTTTTATTAAAAGATTATCATAATTCAAAATTTAATATTGACGTTAAAATCTCATAACACAAGCATTCAGATACCGAAATTATACCCCGCATAATAATGCAAAGTAACTATTTAATTTTTTTTCATTATTTTTTACTACCTCGAAAAAAAAAATATATATTAAAACACGAGGCTTAGGTAGCAGTAAAAAAGTGGATAAACCAAACTAAAATGAAAGTTTGTAATATAAAAAAAGAAAATTACATCGACTAAAATACATCTCCAGTGGCTCGGGGAAAAGGCAGTCAATAATTTTCCCGGGAATCTCAACGTTAACATCGAGGAGGGATACATCGCGTTATTTGAGGCGGAAACTCAACGACAGGATCTCGTTAAAAGACCGTATTCGCAAAGACCGTTTGCCATTCTCAAACGGCGTTACAAGCGTCGGAAAACGACTGAATACACTCTAGTCGGTAAAGCATTTTTATCTCAAGTTTTTATTCCTCGGTGAAACAAAGAGAGTCAAAGGATCATTACCGTGCATTTATAATTGAATTCCTTCCTCTGGCGTTTTGATAAAAAAAAGTACTTTTCTTCGGAAAAACGGGTTAGCTGAATTTCTAATAGTCAAAGCTCGTGAATTGTGAGAATGTGAGATGCCTTAGAAGGAGTAAAGAGTCCAGTATTTCACCCTGGAAATGAGCAAATCGTGTTTATAGTGACAAAGCACGGGTGTAAACGTCCATTAGCATAACCCAAGTGAGCCTGACTATTTAGTAATTGACCGTAGTTGGCTCCAAGACAAGTACAAACTTTGTTCCCTCTGATTTACTTCTCTACTTTTGTTCCTAATCCACCGAATGCCGTCTTGATTAATTTCAATCATTTATCTTTTTATAAATCCATATGAGCTGGACAAAATTTAATCCATTTTTTAAAGTTTCTTTGATTAAAGTACACTGAAGAAAAGTTACTTGATTCCAACTTTTTACATAATGAAGGAAAATTTTTATTGTACATCATTTTGAAGAAGATTGTTGTTTTGAATTAAGCTAAAAAATTCTCAAATAAAAATTTCTTTTTGATTCAAGTTCAATTTTTTATTAGCGCGAACAGAAATTTTGTATCTTCTATAAAAAGTAAATTATCTTTGTAAAGACAATTAAAAATTTGACAGAATTTTTCTATTCCAAAACACCTGATAAAAACTTCGGTAATATTTTGAATCAATGTTAACTTTTATCTTAATGTTTGAGAAAGAAATTGTTTGGTAAAATATAGGCTAGCTTGTAAGAGAAAATGTAAAGTGTTTTATTGAATTAGTGAAGTTTTTAAATGGTTAACTTTTTATCTTCACTCTCTTTGTTTTATTTTCTTAATTAGATTTGTAAATTTTAATTCATTCGTGAAATTTTTTTGAATTGTGTAATTTTTTTTAGTGTAAAATTAAATTAAAGACTCAAATTTTTAATTTGAATTAAATTTGAAGGAAAATTATTGAAGATATTTGTAAAAAATTTTATTGTAATTTTAGTCGCGCTTTTTTCTTAAATTTACAAAAATTTATTATAAAAACTTCAAAATCAAAAAATTTTTTTTTTTTAATTTAAATCAGTGAAAATTTTTCTTTTTATTTTGAGTTTTAAATTACTTTTGAGCTTTCTGCAACAATTACTTTCCACTTTTTCAATAGACTAAAAAAAAGCTTCTCCAGAGTATCTTTTTTTGTTGTTAAAACTTCGAGCTTTTGAGTGCAATTAACTGATTGAATCAGCAATATTTCCTGATCAGTAACTTGGAAACAAAGCAAAAAATTTTCGGCTTTTTCTATCGCGTGAATTCAATTCAAAAATTTCCAATTAAGCTTTTACAAAAAAAAAAAAAGAAAGAAAGTAGCTGGCATTTGTCGAATTACGTGAAATATTTTTTACACTCGGAAAAGTCGATATCGAAAGTGAAAAGACATCCTTGATAATTGACAATTTATTTTTTGTGACACTCGTGGACAGGTGAAAAGTTAAAAATAAAGAAACGTGAAGAAATGATAGAAAAATCTTGAAGCAACTAACGAGTTTGCCTCCAGTCCAGAAGTACTTCTATGAAAAAAAAAAGGTACTACAAAATAAAAAATAAAACAAGATGAGTTTTCCAGTGGTGATCTCTAGCAATTTCTACAAATACCCACAGGCATCCTAAGGTACTTTAACGAATAAAATTTTTCGTACCGCACCCAAGAACCGGGGTGGAAAAAATAAATAAATAAATAAAAATCTTAAATTACCAAGGAAGAAAAAAAAAGGTGAAAACGATCTGTGAGTTTGTTGCAAGTGAATAGGTCATTTAACTCAGATACGAGAAACCTTATGATTTTTAATTGCAATTACGAAACTAAAAAAGTTTCTGTTTTAATTGCCGTTTTTTCTACCACACCTTAATTTTGTTTTAGTTTTTTTTTTTTTTCCCCAGTGATTTACTTTATTTTGTTCGTAAAATCCTCGGAGCTTGGAGTGTTATTTATTTTTATTTTCATTTCAACGATTTTTTTTCGGATTAATACGGCGTACATTAAGCGAACCTCCGAATAAACTTTTTCTGTATTGTATAAATAAAAATTAACTTTTAAATAATAATAACTAGTAACCTGCAGTCACAATGTAAATGCAGAGAATTACGAATTATAAATAGAAGAACTTTTGTTCAGTGATTTTTCAATATTTTTAATTATAATAAAAATAGTTTGGGTACTTTTTAAATAAATTTTAAAAATAATATTTCTATGACTGGATCAATTGCTAATATTTTTGTGGAATATTCAATGGAACAAAATTATTGAATCAACAAACTATTTAAAATTCTTCGAAAAACAAAATAAAAGTAGCCATTGTAAATTTTAAAACGTGAAATTATGAAAGTAAAGATATTAAAAAATTGGTCCTCAATTACAATTTTTTTTCCGTATATGCTCATTTCAAAACTTTATTTATTCTCTTGATTATACACTGATAAAAAATTTAACTTGATTAAAAAAAAAAATAGAATTTTACATAAACTAAAAATGTAATACCTTAAAAAAATGTCTTTTTGGTTCAAAACAGAATTTTTTCAAAATGATCTTCCAAGCTCAAGATTTTTTTTTTCTTGAATAAAGTTAATTTTTTTATTTATTCATTATTTAATTTCAATGTCAAGGCAGTATAGCCAGATGGCAAAAGTATACAAAAAGAGTTACAATAAAAGTACACGTATGACTAATGAAGATATAAAGTTTCAAAAATATTAGATATTAAGAATTGATTATTTTTCTTAATTTGGAATACAATTTTGACAAATAAAAGAAAGAAAATAAATTTGAGTATTATAAATTTAAGAGTTAAACTCAGTGGTACAAATTATACAAATTATAGAAGATGATAATCTGAGATGATCTAGAACGATAAACTCATGTAAACAGAAATGTGAAAATGAATATAAAAGGTTTGAAAATTAGGATTCATTGTCTTCTTTAAAAGTTAGAAATTAAGATTTATTATTTCGTTCACGTTTCATGAAGAATTCAAAAGTACTAGTTTTAAAAGAATTTAAGCTAAGTGAATTTGTGACTTCAAATGGTAATTCCCTCCAAATTCGCATCGCAGAAACTACGAAGGAATGTTCAAAAGTAGTAGTTGAGAAATTGGGCATTTTAAAAGACACATTAATTTGTTTAGCAGCAATTCTTTCCGATCTTCTAATATCTGTAGATTCTTCAATAAAAAGACTTATAACTTATAAGGAACTTTGGTTCACCTGATTTTAGAAGTTTGTAGATGAAGCACGCTAACGAGTACATTTTATCAATATAAGGATTAATATTTCACACATAATTACATTCAAATATATAAAACAAAATAAATTTTATTGAGCGCGAAATTTGAATCTACTTATAACAACTTCAAAAACTGATCAAAATATATAAACTACAGTAGCGCTCATAAGTATTTTGACAACATTATGCGTTAGTTTTTTTCAACAATGTCAAAATACTTCGGAGCCACCATTTTCCTAATATTTTAAAAATTAAATTTTCTTTTATTAGGAACAAGGACCACTTTGACACTATTTTGTAGATTATTCAAAAGTTGTTAAAAAAATGATTATTGTGTTTCATATTTATTTTTAATTAAACCATTAAGTATATTTGTCAAAATACTTTTGAGCGCTTAGCTACTGTATTTTAAAAAATGATAATAAATCTCAAAAAGACACAAATTTACGTCAAGACTTTCTCAATTACACTGAATTCAACAAAAAAAAAAAAACTTATTTTATCATATAAATACGATGGACACAAATTTTTCCTTATTCCCAATAATTACATACATATTATTTTTTTTCTACCTATGATTAATTTTCTTCTTCGGATAATAAAAAAAGTAATCATTTTACCATTTGACCTCCTCTCTGCATGCACAATTTTATATCTAACATCGGATTTGAACTTTCATTGATTTGATTAAATCGTAATTTGAAATCTTGTAGTTCTTCTATTCATATTTATCAAGCGAGAAGATGAAACGTATAGTATAAAGTATATCAAACTCTAACGTTAGTCACATTCGATTATGTAAAATCGATGAGATCCGTACTGAGACGCCAGAGTATAGGATAAATAACTCGATTTTGTGTCACCACATTCTATGTGAGACGGAGAGTGTATTTCCTTCATAGAAACGACGCCCAAAAGCTCTTACTACCTCTGTCACAAACTCTTTTATCTTCGCATGAATGCTTACATTCCTACAAATGTTCTTATCTTTCGGGTGCTTTATTTTATTCCACTTTATCTTTTTCACCTATTCTACCGCTTGGATCCTTGTAAAGAATATAAAAAAAAAAAGAAAACTCTTCTCAAGTTTTCTAATACGTCTCCTAATTAACGCCGCTCGATAAATACAATGACTAATTACTGTAAAAGAAAGCAACGAGGAGCAATTAATTAGTCGGATATTTCTCTAAGAGTAATAACAAAAAAAGTGAGTTGAAAGCTATATTGATTAGTTTACTTTTAAGCTTTAAGGATGAATTTTCTCTTTAACTCACTGATGTCGACCACACCCTGCATGTCCTAGGTCATATAATTGAGATGGAACCGCATGAATCTCTGCTCTGAATACCCGATCGATCGTATCACCTCACTTCGCGTTGTCCATTATCAATTTAACAATTTTTCAGCTGAAATAGATTCCAGATAAAAGTTTGCATTAATTTTTCTTTACTTTTATTTATTTTTTTTTCTTACTATACAGTGTTGTCAAATTTTAACTCAAATTTTTGGGAAAATCCTTTTAGACGGCTAATTTATAATTTAACATATATTTGGTACAAACTTATTTTAGTTATAAAAAAAAACTTTTCTTCAAGGAGCTCTGAAATATCTTTTCTATATAAATTACTTTGTTTGAAATAAAATATTCATCGACAGTTTTTTTGTTCTCCAATCGATCCGTCATTTGATAATGCAAAAGAAATGGTTTCGCGCTTGACAAATTTTACCAGTGTCCTTTTTTATTGAATTTTTATCTTGATTTACGTATAACTAATCTATAATTCATGAATACATAAATAATTCACGGTAAAAAACTTTAAATTACATAATATTATAACTTAAAGGAAAAATCCCTGGAGGTGGTTCAAAATGAGTCATTTATCAAAAGTGCTTCTATAGATGATAAAATAGTCATATAATTTTGAAATTTTAACGTCATTTTATTTTAACTTTGAAGGGTAAAAGAACAATTTTTTTTTTTACAAAATAGTGGATCAGTAAAATTTTTTTTCGGATTACTCTGGCGCAAGCTTCAAAAGTGCTGCATTTGTCACTCTTTTTCTATTGATGTAAAACAAAATAATAGCTTTCTATTTCTGACATATGCACGGGAAGGATAAACCTTCAAAATGTTAAAGTATGAAATTAAAAATTAAGTAAGCTCATTAAAAAGAGCACAAATTTTGTACTATTTTGTTTGACTTTTGTTCATCTCAAAAATTTGTTTTTTATTTTTTTCTCAATTAAAAAAAAATGTATTTTTTAATTTTGGCTTATTTTTCAAAACACTACTTGTAGGAAGTTATGGATAGGATTAATAATAAATAAAGTGAAAAACAATATTATTATCCACATAGAGTGATTCAAATAGAATCTTTATTTTAAAGAAAAGAATTGTATCGAGAGAAGTGTCGTTACTTGACAGAGTTTAGTCGCAGACTAACTATAATGTTAAAAACTATTTTATTGTGAGGTCTAACCCTCTGTATTGTCCTTAGTAAAACACATGTTTTACTAAGTTGTCCTTTGTACAACTCAAGTACCTAAGGTCATAAAATCAAGCCTATATAGGCTTTCTTATTCTAGCAGCACAAATGTGCCTTAAATGTGTTTTTCACATATCAAAACTAATAAAAGAAAAATACGTTATTTTTCTAAAATAAATATTTCTATCTAGAACTAAATATCTAAAATATAAAACTAAAAGTTTGTAACTGGAATTTATTTTTGCTCAGAGAATCCAACATTACTCTAAAAATTTCACAGAAACTGAAGAACAGATCAAAGTTTCAAATAAAAAAATAAAAATCATTGAAAAATTTATTTTCAAAACATAAAAAAAATGGATTTTATGAAGTTTTTAAAGAGATTTTTTTTTCTCTATAAATATTTTGAATTCTCTTCGTGTGAGACTATACGACTTGCGCAGATAAATAGATCCAAGTTATTTACAATACGTGCAATATCATTTATTCGTCTACAGTGAGCATAAATAGAAATAAAAATAAAAAAGAAATCAAAAGGTGAGATGTCACTGAATATATATTTCAACGACTTGAACATTAACAGCCCGATAAATTTTCGCACGTGTGTGCCGGTAACACGTAGTGTATTGGTCTACTGTAATTCGCCAATGAGTATCGCAAAACTACTATTCCCAGGCGTCCAGTAATCCGATTTGCCGGTTCCATTAAAACTTACTGTTCGACGTGAGCTTCAAGGAGTGAAAGGGAAAGAGAGTGAAGTAGTTGAATTACAACTCACCCCACATATAAGGATAAAAAATATGTCGTAAAATAAATAACTTTTAAAATCAAGCTTTTTTTTCTCTTTTAGACAAGATGAAAGTTTTTTTTTCCTCTGAGTTCAGTAATTGATTGTCTATTAAATACCAAAAAAACATTTTCAATTTACAAGCAAATGTTTGACTTCATCAAAGTGAACAAATATCAAGTGAAGTAAATAATGTTGTGAATGGAAAAGATTCTCTTATTCAAACATTTTGAAGTAAATGTTTATTTAATTTAATTAAATATCGATTTACTGAAATTACAATTTCTTTTTTTAGCGTATAAAATACAATATTAATTAAATAATGAAAATATTAAATTAATTAATTGAAAAATTGTTATCAAAAGAATTTTTTATTGCATCGCTGCAAAAAAATTTTAACCTAACAAACAAAGTCCCGCAATTTAAAGCGTTTTTGTGTTTTTGCTAGAAAGTTTAATTTTGAACCGCTAGATGGCGTTATTAAGCTATGTGACGTCACACGACGCGGATAGAAATACTTTTTTAGATTATTTGGGACTTTATATTTTGTCACTGACATATTTTTTATTTATGAAGAAATATAATTTGAAAATGCAAACTCAAAAATTCATAAAATAAAATTTCATGACCATATTTTATAAGTGTAACAATTTATTTTATTGGGTCAAATTTCAATTGAAAAACTCATTTGAATTGCAGAAAATAAAAGCTGTCAATTTTATTGACGTGGAATTCAAAATTTACATGAAAGAGCAGCTGTGAAGTGAAATGTTTTATACAGAATACCAATCAATTTTTTCGCATTTACAAATGAACAAAAAACTTTGAATTTTTCTTCTTTCCATCGTTTTTTCATTTTATCACTGGGAGTAAAATTTTATTGCCAATTTTTTTTACCAAAAGAAAAAAGGTAATAGTATTATGATACATTTGACACGCGCAGAATATAATTTAATTTTCTATCTTGGCCGGTAGGAGCACATGCTCTAATTTAATTCAATCTTGCAATCAGAGGTTTGGTTATTAGGCGCCTTCACCAATGCACAATTTATATCACCTCAATATTCCCTTTAGACTTGCTTCTGATCTAATCTCAACCCAGTTTTCCTCTATATTTCATTTATGATATTGTTCGCTGCTATTTCGACAATTTTAATCATTTTCTTAATATGATTATATTTATAATTAAAAGGATTTTTATACTCAAATTTGGTACCATCAAAAAGACCTTGACCTTTTTACGATTTTATGTATTTTTCGGGGTCAATTTTTTATATCAAATTTTTGGAGAAGTCTTTAATAGTTTGTTGGCTATATAAATTTCTTTCTTGACAATTTTTATAAAATTCTTGATAGTGGATCTTGTGATAGTAATATTATTTTTTTAATATACTTAAAAAGTACCCAAACGATTAATATTAATATTATGATTAAAAATAGTGAAAAATCATTAATTCAAAGTTCTCTACTTAATAATTCGTAATTTTCGGCATTCACATATTATTTTCAGGTTGATAGTAATTATTAATTTTTTTAAAAAAATGATACTCATAAAAACATAATCTTTTTTGATTTTTCAAGCAGTTGGAACTTTTATTACTTTCGAATAGTCAATCCAATACGTGACGCAATAAAAAGCTTATTATTGACATAGCATAAAAGTTTCCATCGTCGAAGAATCGAAATATTGCCGGTATAAAAAAGAAACAATTATTTATAAAGGATCCAATATAATGGACGGATGAACTGAA